CCAATCTGCACATAATAGGAATCCTAGAAGCAGAAGAAAGAGAAAAGGGGATCGAAAATGTACTTGAAAAAATTATGGCTGAAAACTTCCCAGACCTAAAGAAGGAAACAGATTTCCAGGCACAGGAAGCACAGAGGGTCCCAAACAATATGAACCCAAACAGACCTACTCTAAGACGTATCATAATTAAAATGCCAAAAGTTAAGGAGAGAATTCTAAAAGTAGCAAGAGAAAAACAAATAGGCAGTTACAAGGGAACCCCCATAAGGCTATCAGCTGATTTCTCTACAGAAATTTTGCAGGCCGGAAGGGAGTGGCAAGATATAGTCAAAGTCCTGAAAGGGAAAAACCTGCAACCTAGGATACTCTACTCAGCAAGATTATCATTTAGAATAGAAGGAGAGAGAAAGAATTTCTCAGACAAGCAAAAACTAAAGGAATACAGGAATACTAAACCTATCTTAAACTAAATATTGAAAGGTCTTCTCTAAATGGAAAAGAAGCAAGAATCTATAGGAAAGAGAAAACAACAGTAGAAGAGGTAAGTATATAAAAGGATTAAAGCTCACTGAAATAAGTCAGTACATAGGTTTAAAATTTTTTTTAATTGTATGAAAGCGATTATAACTACAGTGTTCAGCAAAAGAATAAACATGAAGATGTAAAATGAGACATCAAATCACAAAATGTGGGGGAGGGGAGTAAGAAAATGTAGATCTTTTAGAATGTGTTTGAGCTTATATGACTACCAGTCTAAAGCAAGTAGATTTAGTGATGGGTTAACATACTTGAAAATCAGAGTAACCACAAATCAAAATCATATTTAAAAGATTCACAAAAAAAACAAAAAGAAAAAAGGTACTCAAGCATAATACAAAAGAAAACCATCAAACCACAAAAGGAAAAACAAAAAGAAACAAAGAAGATATACAAAATCAACTGAAAAACAAGGTTTAAAATGACAATAAATACATACTTATCAATAATTACTTTAAATGTCAATGGACAAAAGGCTCTGATCAAAAGACGTAGAGTGGCAGACTGAATAATAAGACAAGAACCTACAATATGCTGCCTACAGTAGACCCACTTTAGGGCAAAGAACACACATGGATTGAAAGTGGATGGAAAAAATATTTCATGCAAGTGGAAGTGACAAGAAAGCAGGGATAGCAATACTTAAATCAGACAAAGACTTTAAAACAAGGTCATAAAGAAAGATAAAGAAGGGCACTGTATAATGATAAAAGGATCAATAAAAGAAGAGGATATTACATTCGTTATCCTATATGCTGTCAATATAGGAGCACCTAAATACATAAAACAAATACTAACAGACATAAAGGGAGAATTGATGGGAATACAATAATAGTAGGAGACTTTAACACCCCACTGACGTCAACGGACAGATCTTCCAGACAGAAGATCAGTAATGCAACAGAGACTCTAAATGACACAATAGAACAGATTTAATTGATATCTTCAGGACATTACATCCAAAAAACCCAGAATACATTCTTTTCAAGTGCACATGGAATGTTGAAGAGGAGGGAACACTCCTAAAGTCATCCTATGAAGCCACCATCATCCTGATACTAAAACCAGACAAAGACATTATCAAAAAAGAAAATTACAGGCCAATATCTTTGATGAATATGGATATAAAAATCCTCAACAAAATATTAGCAAACCAAAGCCAACAACGCATAAAAAAGATCATACACCATGATCAAGTTGGATGCATCCCAGGGTCACAAGGGTGGTTCAGATATGCAAGTCAATCATGTGATACACCACATCAACAAAATAAAAGACAAAGACCATATGATCATCTCAGTAGATGCAGAAGAAAAATTTGATAAAATTCAACATTCATTCATGATAAAAACTCTTACCAAAGTGGGTTTAGAGGGAACATATCACAATATAATAAAAGCTATTTATGACAAACCCACAGCCAATATAATACTCAACAGTGAAACGCTAAAAGCCTTCCCACTAAATTCTGGAATAAGACAAGGATGCCCACTCTTACCACTTTTATTCAACATAGTATTGGAAGTCCTAGCCACAGCAATCAGATAAGAAAAAGACATAAAAAGTATCTAAATTGGAAGGGAAGAGGTAAAATTGTCATTATATGTAGATGACAGGATACTCTATATAGAAAACCCTAAAGACTCCCAAACACAGGAACTATTAGAACTGATAAACGAATTCAGTAAGGTAGAAGGATACAAGATTAACATAGAGAAATCAGTTGCATTTCTTTACACTAACAATGAAATATCAGGAAGACAAAGTAAAAAAAAATCCCTTTTAAAATTGTGTCCAAAAAAAGTGGAATACCTAGGAATAAACCTGACCGAAGAGATGAAAGACTTATATGCTGAGAACCGTAAAAACATTGATAAAGGAAATGAAAAGAAATACCATGGTCTTGGATTAGGAGAATTAATATAGTTAAAATGGCCATACTACCCAAAGCAATCTACAGATTTAACATGATCTGTATCAGATTACCCATGACATTTTTCACAGAACTAGAACAAATAATCCTAAAATTTACATGGAACCACAAAAGACCCAGAATTGCCAAAGTAATCCTGAGGAAAAAGAGCACAGCTAGAGGCATAATCTTCCCAGACTTCAGGCAATACTACAAAGGTACAGTAATGTAAACAGCATGGTATTGGCACAAAAACAGACATATGGATCAGTGGAACAGAATAGAGAGCCCAGAAATAAATCTACACACCTACAGTCAATTAATCTACAACAGAGTAGGCAAGAATATACAATGGAGAAAAGACAGCCTCTTCAATAAGTGGTGCTGGGAAAACTGGACAGCTGCATGTAAAAGAATGAAATTAGAACATTCTAACACCATATACAAAAATAAGCTCAAAATGGATTAAAGACCTAAATGTAAGACCAGATACTATAAAATTCCTAGAAGAAAGCATAGGAAGAACATTCTTTGACATAAACCACAGCAATATTTTTTTAGATCTGTCTCCTAGAGTAATGGAAATAAAAGCAAAAATAAATGATTGGGACCTAATTAAACTTAAAAGCTTTTGCACAGCAAAGGAAACCATAAACAGAATGAGAAGATAACCTGCGGAATGGGAGAAAATTTTTGCAAATGATGTGACCAACAAGGGATTAGTCTCCAAAATTTACAAGGAGCTCATACAGTTCAGTATCAAAAAACAAACAACCCAATAAAAAAATGGTCAGAATGGGACTTCCCTGGTGGCACAGTGGTTAAGAATCTGCCTGCCAATGCAGGGGACACGGGTTCGATCCCTGGTCTGGGAAGATCCTACATGCTGTGGAGCAGCTGGGCCCGTGTGCCACAACTACTGAAGCCCACATGCTTAGAGCCCATGCTCTGCAACAAGAGAAGCCACCTCAATGAGAAGCCCGCGCACCGCAATGAAGAGTAGCCCTGCTCAATGCAACTAGAGGAAGCCCGCGCGCAGCAGTGAAGACCCAACGCAGCCAAAAATAAATTTATAAATAAATAAATAAATTGTATATCTTAAAAAAAAAAAGGGGGCAGAAGACCTAAATAGACATTTCTCCAAAGAAGATATACAGGTGGCCAACAGACACATGAAAAGATGCTCAACATTGCTAATTATTAGAAAAATACAAATCAAAACTACAATGAGGTATTACCTCACACCAGTCAAAATAGTCATCATCAAAAAGTCTACAAATAAGTGCTGGAGATAGTGTGGAGAAAAGGGACTGTTGGTGGGAATGTAAATAGGTGCAATATGGAGAACAGTATGGAGGTTCCTTAAAAAACTAAAAATAGAGTTACCATATGATCCAGCAATCCCACTCCTGGGCATATATCCGGAGAAAACTCTAATTCGAAAAGAGACATGCTCCCCAATGTTCATAGCTGCACTATTTACAGTAGCCAAGACGTGGAAGCAACCTAAATGTCCATAGACAGATGAATGGATAAAGAAGATGTGGTATATATATACGATGGAATATTACTCAGCCATTAAAAATGAAATAATGCCATTTGCAGCAACATGGATGGGCCTAGAGATTATCATATAAACTGAAGTAAGTGAGACAAAGACAGCCATCATATATCACTTATGTGTGGAATCTAAAATATGATACAGATGAACTTATTTCCAAAACATGTTTGAAACAGACTCACAGACATAGAAAACAAACTTATGGTTGCCAAAGGGGGAAAGGCTGGCGTGGGGGAGGGATAAATTAGGAGTTTGGAATTAACAGAGACACACTAATATATCTAAAATAGATAAACAACAAGGACTTACTGTATAGCACAGGGAACTATATTCAGTATCTTGTAATAATCTATAATAGAAAAGAATCTGAAAAAGGCTAGGTATATGTATATGTATAACTGAATCACTTTGCTGTACACCTGAAACTAACACAACATTGTAAATCAAGTGTACTTCAATAAAAAAAGAAAAAATTAATAAAAAATCTAACAATTTCAGTCAAAAAAAAGGGGGGTTAAACATAGACTTACCGTATGACCTAGCAATTCCACTCCTAGCTATATCCCCCAAGAGAACTGAGAACATATGTACACATGAAAATTTGTACATACCAGCATTATTCAAAATAACCAGTAAGTGGAGACAACCCAAATGTCCATCTACAAATGAGTGGATAAACAAAATGTGGTACATTATTGGAACATTATTTAGCAATAAAAAGAAATGAAGACTGATACATGCTATAGCATGGATGAACCATCAAAACATTATTGTAAGTGATAGGAGTCAGATGCAAAAGACCACATATTATATGATCCCATTTACCATTTATGAATTATTGCAGAGGAAAAAAATAATCAGAAAATTCCATCCTCTGGAGGTTAATGTCACTTCTTCTGAATATGCTTGATTTTTTTTTTTCTTTCTCAAATTTTATCTTTAGGAACTGCATTAACTCTTTATCGATCTTTTTTAATTTTTATTTTTTAGGTCCCTGGTTTGATATGTACTTAACTGCTCGAGACCCAATTGTCCTGAACTTTAATCCATTTATGTCATTCAACCCTGACCCAAAGTCCGAGTACAACGACCAGCTCACCCGGGCAACCAACATGACTGTCTCTGCCGTCCGGTTTCTGAAGACACTTCGGGCTGACCTTTTGGAACCAGAAGTGTTCCACTTGAACCCTGCCAAAAGTGACACTGATACCTTCAAGAGACTCATACGCTTTGTGCCTTCCTCTCTGTCCTGGTATGGTGCCTACTTGGTCAATGCATATCCCCTGGATATGTCCCAGTATTTTCGGCTTTTCAATTCCACTCGTTTACCCAAACCCAGTCGAGATGAACTCTTCACTGATGACAAGGCCAGACACCTCCTGGTCCTAAGAAAAGGACACTTCTATGTCTTTGATGTCCTGGATCAAGATGGGAACATTGTGAGCGCCTCAGAAATCCAGGCTCATCTGAAGTACATTCTCTCAGACAGTAGCCTGGCCCCCGAGTTTCCACTGTCATATCTGACCAGTGAGAACCGGGACATCTGGGCAGAGCTCAGACAGAAGCTGGTGAGTGGTGGCAACGAGGAGACCCTGAGGAAAGTGGACTCTGCTGTATTCTGTCTCTGCCTAGATGACTTCCCCATTAAGGACCTTGTCCACTTGTCCCACAACATGCTGCACGGGGACGGCACAAACCGCTGGTTTGATAAATCCTTTAACCTCATTATAGCCAAGGATGGCACTGCTGCTATCCACTTTGAGCATGCTTGGGGCGATGGTGTTGCAGTGCTCAGGTTTTTTAATGAAGTGTTTAAAGACAGCACTCAGGCCCCTGCCATCACTCCACGGAGCCAGCCAGCTAACACTGACTCTTCTGTCGCCGTACAAAAACTCAACTTCAAGCTGAACGATGCTTTAAAGACTGGCATTAGCGCTGCTAAGGAAAAATTTGACGCCACCATGAAAACCCTCACCATTGACTACATCCAGTTTCAGAGAGGAGGCAAAGAATTCCTGAAGAAGCAGAAGCTGAGCCCTGACTCAGTGGCTCAGCTGGCCTTCCAGATGGCCCTCCTGCAACAGTACGGGCAGACAGTGGCCACCTATGAGTCCTGTAGCACTGCAGCATTCAAGCACGGCCGCACCGAGACCATCCGCCCGGCCTCCATCTTCACAAAGAGGTGCTCTGAGGCCTTTGTCAGGGAGCCCTCCAAGCACAGCGCTGGAGAGCTTCAGCACATGATAGCCAAGTGCTCCACGCACCACAACCAGCTGACCAAAGAAGCCGCGATGGGTGAGACAGGGTTTGGGGAGCACGCCCTTAGGTCTTGTTGCCCTCGGCACTGGGGTAAGCCTCAGCTCTCTCCTACCCCGCATCTGATTTCCACCTCTTCACTAGGTTTAATCCACCTGCCAACTGATTATTATCTTTTTCTACCTTAGTAGTCCAAACAGCCAGACTAGCCATTAGGGTTCAGAATATTCTCTCCTCTTAAGCAAGGATGGGGAAATGCATCCAACTTCGTCCTCATTTAAGGTCACTTTCAGCCACGTTACATACCTCTTCCTATTATTTATTGGTCATCAGACTCACTTTTGACAACGTAGGATTTCTAAGCCCACGGCCCCTCTTACTTCACTTCAGTTGAAGTGTATTGGTTGCCTGTAAATAGGCCATCTCAGAAGCTCTTCCCAACCTAAGTGTCATCTTTCTTTGCCTCTTCATAGTAAAATTCGAGACCTAGAAAGGACCTGGAGGATCACACAGTCCAGTTCCTTCATGTAGCCAAAGTCCTGGAACTGAAAGGGACCTCCAAGACATTCTAGCCTCATCCTTCTCCAATTTTATAAGTATGAAACTGAGACCACTGGCTCAGGGCCACGCAGCAAATTGTCAGGAAAGCGGAGATTAGAACCCTGGTCAAATACCCCTTCCATTTTGTTCCACTGACTCAGTCTTGTCTTTTACGCTTGATTTGGACTTTGGCTTTTACCTTAGTTTTTGAGTCCATAGTGTGTTCTCCATGTACTTTTCTTGACTGTTTGACTAAACTGATTCAATTTCAAAATTTTAAAAATCATGTTCATTTTAGGCTGATTTTTAGCTCAGCTGTTCACAGCTTTTTAAAAAGGAATATTCTAGAATGAACTGAGCCAGAGGTTAGCAAGCCGGAGGTGTGCATGCAGAGATAAACAAACCCTTCTTCCACTCTCAAGGATGCTGTGAAGGTGCTCCTACCATGGGTCGGAGGTTTTACCAAGTGAGGTCCCTTTCAGTTCTGAGATTCTTAGACTCTGGTTTTCCATTTTGTCTCTGACAGGCCAGGGCTTTGATCGACACTTGTTTGCTCTGCGGTACCTGGGAGCAGCCAAAGGGATTGACCTGCCCGAGCTATACCTGGACCCTGCATATAGGCAGATAAACCACAACATCCTGTCCACGAGCACGTTGAGCAGCCCAGCAGTGAACATTGGCGGCTTTGCCCCCGTGGTCCCTGATGGTTTTGGCATTGCGTATGCTGTTCATGACAACTGGATAGGCTGCAACGTCTCTGCCTACCAAGGCCGCAATGCCCACGAGTTTCTCCAGTGTGTGGAGAAGGCCTTAGAAGGCATGTTTGATGCCTTAGAAGGCAAAGCCATCAAATCTTAACTTCTGGGTGGATGAAAAGCCTCTATTCCTTCATCAACATGAAAATTGGGGCCTCTGTAACCAGTAGACACTGCTCTGTGACTAATGAAACTAATTGTGAGGCGCCTGAGCACCAGTGCTATAAGGTGTGAGCTTTAAAACCGTGGTTTTACAGCTAAACATGTAACTTCCAAGTGGAGCTACATCACAACTAAAGATAATGTGAGATTTCAATTTTAAGGACATTTGATCAGGAGGTAAGACTTAGAAAGTAACTCAGGTGTATTTATTGTTGAAGCAGAAATAAAATGCAATTCATGCTTAGAGGTGGTTCCTCTTAGGTTTTGGGTTTTTTTGTTTTTAATTGTTTAACCTCGTTGCCTAATCCCCACAAAGAACTTTCCAGTAGTAAGTTCAGGTGATAGTAAGTTCATATTGGCTCCTGGCTCTTCGGGTGACGGTAGGAAATGCTCTTTTATCTTTCCTGTAAACTTGCTTTTCTCTCCTGGGATATCCTTTGTTTAAAAACCCTCTTCATTTTTCTAAGGAGTAAACCACTACTGCTCGATTCTGACAGTCCTGCTGCAATAAAGGGTTATATCCATGGATTTAGGGAGTTCTATATCACTGTTCTTCCAGCCAAATGAAGATTAATAACTGGTGTGTATTTATTTTTACCAGTTGAATCTTGTGTGCTAATTATGGAATAAGGTAGAATTACTGCTCTATACATTTTGCACTTGAAACCTCTCCATTGAGTGAGCGCAGAATTTATTGTTAGAACATCACCGCTCTAACAATTTATTGTTAGAATACTGCTGTAATGTGAAAAGGAAGCGTGTTCTCTTTTGTTTTTGAAAAGGAAGGGTTTTTGTTTGTGTTTAATTTTACCTGCGTTTCTAGTGGCTTGCCCAGCAAGTTACTGGACAGCTGGGTTGAATTCTGGTATGAGCCAGTCACAAAGCTCTTCCAATGCATTATCTCATGTAATCCTCCTTACAGTTCATGTAAACACTCCTGCACGTTTTCTTAGCCGACCCTGTCCATCCTTTGCTCATTAACCATTTAGTGAATACCCAGCAGGTCCCAGGTCCTCCATACTCCATGGTTTGATAAGAGAGAGGCATTTGTGGCTGCCAATGCACATAAACATATGCTGCTCTCATTCAGGAACCGTGATCAGGAATACCTGAACTCTGGTATCTTGGTTCTACCATGTCCTCACTTTATGACTATAGGCAAGTTCTTTTGCCTTTCTGGTCTGTGAGTTCCATTGTAAAATGGGGATAATTCCTATAGCATGGGGATGTCGTGAGAATTAGCTGTAACGATGTAGGTAAAGCACCTGGCATACAGCTGAAGCTGAGCCTGTGCTCTCTTGTTCTGTGATGTCTTGCTGCCGCTGTTCCATTCCTTATTGAAGTGCTGACCCCTCTTGGATAGCAAGTTCCCCATAGCAGGAGCTCTTAAGACCGAAGCATCAATTGAAGCTTGGTGGAAAAGTATGTTTCATGCTTATGTTCAGGTGGATGTACCCTTGGGCAGTACATCTTGGGTGCGAGCAGTCCCTTAAAGGGGAACTGCTGGCCTGTCCCAGTGTTCAGCATTCCTGTTTACAACTTCCTCCACCCCTCCTGATCTTGGATTCATGCTATGAAGTGTTCTACGAGGTAGCTAGGATGGCAAAAACAGTTATTAAGTCTCAATCCAGTTGGAGCTCACACACAGGTCTTGCACATTTGTACAGAACTCAACTATTTGTAAAGCATCAGCCGATTTGATCCCCTCAGCTCTGAAATAGAAGTTATCCCCATTTTCCACACAAAAGATGGACAGGTTGGGGGAGCTTGATAACATGTAGGATTAGGACCAGCTCTCTTGATTCCTTGTCCAGTGCTTTTTTTCCTATATTTGTTTGTCTAGGCTTCCGGTAATTAGACCTTACATTAGCTGGCCTCCCAACTCAGGAGGATGAGTTTTGTTAAATTAATACCTGTTGCTCCTGACCCTAAAGCAGCTCCCATGTGGAGTTTCCCACGGTGCTTCGGGAAGCCAGCAAGCTCTGTCCTAGTGGCTCTTTTCCATGACTCCTGAACAAGTATGGCACATCTCCAGATCCACAGTCACACCAGCCTCTCTGGAAGTTATCTGCTACTCTTTGAGGTGCCTCCAGGATCCCCAGGGTGAGTTTCGTGGATACTATGTAGGTTAAATTTTTTATTATTTTTTTAAATTTTCTTATTTTTTTTTTTTGCGGTACGCGGGCCTCTCACTGTTGTGGCCTCTCCCGTTGCGGAGCACAGGCTCTGGACGCGCAGGCTCAGCGTCCACGACTCACGGGCCTAGCCGCTCCGCGGCATGTGGGATCCTCCCGGACCCGGGCACGAACCCGTGTCCCCTGCCTCGGCAGGCGGACTCCCAACCACTGCGCCACCAGGGAAGCCCAAGGTTACATTTTTAAAAAGACAGCTTTATTGAGCTATACTTCCTATACCATACATTTCACTTATTTAAAGTATATCATTCTGTCATTTTTAGCATATTCACAGAGTTCTGCAACCATCACCACAATCAATTTTAGAACATTTTCATCTCCAATAGAAAGGCTGTACTGATTAACAGTCACTCTCCTTTTCCCTCAACCCTCTAACGTCCCTCTCAAATCCTAGACAAAACCATAATCTACTTTCTGTCTCTATAGCTTTTTCTATTCTGGACATTTCATATAAATGGAATCATATAATATGTGGCCTTTTGCTTAGCATAATGTTTTCAAGATTTATCCATGTTCCAGAACCTGTCAGTACTTATCTTCTTTTTATTGCTGAATACTATTCCAGTATATAGATGGATCACATTTTATTTATTCATTGATCAGTTGATAGTCAATTGGGTTTTTTCCACTTTTTAGCTATTAAGAATAATGCTGCTATGAACATTTGTGTATAAGTCTTTGTGTTGACATATGTTTTCATTTCTCTGGGGTATTTACCTAGGAGTGGAATTGCTGGGTCATGTAGTAACTCTGTGTTTAATCATTTAAGAAACTGCCAGGATATTCTCCAAAGCGGTTGCACCATTTTACATTCCCACCAGCAGAGTGTGAATGTTCCAGCTTCTCCACATCTCACCAACACTTGTTTTCATCTATTTGGATTATAGCCATTCTGATGAGTGTGAAGTGGTATCTCATTGTGGGTTTTATTAGCGTATGTTTTAAATTAGACCACCTCGAACATATTTTCCAAATCTAGTGACACCTATCCAATTATCTTCATGTGACAGAATAAGTGACAAAAAAGGAATGGGAGCCAGGATTGGAGGAGGTGGACATGAGACAGTGGGGTAGGTGCTGAAAGGGAGAGAGTTTAGGGTGTTTCAGGAGACACAACTGGGGCTTGATAAACAAAGAGATGCAGGGAGCCTCCAGCAGAGAATAGAGCTCGGGGGACTGCTTGAGCAGAATTGGTTACAAGTATATCTTCTTTCTGGGAATCTTCCATTGTAAAGAAGACAGGGCCACTGAATAAGCAGAATCACATTTGGTATTTATGATATTAAGTGGAAAACAGTTAAATATAATCTTAATGCTGCTAGGATTATAGCCATATGAAAACATGTCTGTGTGTAGATAGGCCCTGAAAGAGAACAGGGGAAAATAAACACACTTCTGTTAGGGAGCTAGGATGGTGGGGTTTAAGAAAATGTTTATTTCTTTTTCTGTTTTTCTTTATTGATATCATACTGTTTGTGCAACACCAGGTTGTTAGGCAGGAACCAAAAAAAATACACGTTAGCAGCCCCCACTTCCTTACCAGCCGTCCTCATGCCTCGTGCTTCAGCCACACTAAGCCTCCCACTGGTCTCAGACATGTCTGAGCTTCACTGTGACTCTGTACCTTGCAAATGCCATCCTCCATCCTCAGAATGCCCTTGGCTCCAGCACATCCTCTGCCAAATTAGTCCTTGTTCTTTTTAGCCCAGCTCAAATGTCCCCTCCCATGAAGCCACGCTCATGGGGTCTCCCCGGAAGAATGCGTCATCCCTTCCTCCATATTCCGCTACTCCCAGCTTTGGCTTCTGTTTCGGCCAGCGAGGGGCCTGACACATAATGTGTTATTTCTGGAGACTGCATTGTTCCCTCCCGGCACCCACACCTTTGCAAGGTGACTTTGTAGCGCCTCCTGTCAAGAGGCGGAGCCTATTTTTCCCCTCCTAACTGGCCTCTAGACTCCACTCATTCCCTCCAGTCCATTCTCCTCACTGTAGCCAGTGGTTTTTTTCATGTACAAGTCTGATCATATCCCTGCTTAAAATTCCTCAGTCGTTTTCCATTAACTTGGAAAACAGTCCATACTCCTCAGTGTGACAGTTGTGGCCTTGATGGAGCTGGCCCTGCTCATCTTTTCAGACCCACCTCTCTTAACAGCTTACCCTGAGGAAGTTGCCTCTACTTGGAGCATAAGCCCCTCTCCACCCTTTCAGCTATCTTCTGCTCAACCTTCAGGTTTCAGATAGACTGCACCTCCTCTCACCCCACCCCTCTGAGGCTGAGTTAGTTGGTGCCCCTCCTGTGTATGCCCAGAGCATCCTGACAATCTAACCTTTATCGCAGTGCTTTTCAGTTTCTGCAGCTGTCTCCGTTACTAGGTTGTGGCTCTATTCCCTGTGCTGTACAATATGTCCTTGTAGCTTATTTTATACATACTAATCCCCTACCCCTATCTTGTCCTTCCCCCTTTCCCTCTCCCCACTGGTAACCAATTAGTTTGTTTTCTGTATCTGTGAATCTGTTTCTTTTTTGTTACATTCACTAGTTTATTTTTAAAATTCCTTGTATAAGTGATATCATACAGTACTTGTCTTTCTCTCTTTGACTTACTTCACTAAGCACAATACCCAAGTCCATCCATGTTGTTGCAAACGGCAAAATTTCATTTTTTTCCTTGTTCTTTTTTGTGTGTGTATCTGTTACAGATTTTTGGTTTGTGGTTACCATGAGGTTTATACATAGCAATCTTTATGTAAACGTGATTGTTTTTAGTTGCTGACCCCTTAATTTCAAGTGAATTTTAACACCCCTGCATTTGTACTCTCCTCCTATCATGATGATTGTCTTTGACATCATGTTTTACATCTGATTGTTTTGTGTCTCCCTTAACCACTTATTGTGGATATAGGTGATTTTGCCACCTTTTTCTTTTAACCCGCCTACTGGCTTTGTGTGCGGATGATTTCCTGCATTTAGAGTGTATTTGCCTTTACTGGTGAGCTTTTTCCTTTCGTAATTTTCATGTTTCTATTTGTGGCCTTCTCTTTTTCACTTAGAGTTCCTATAACATTTCTTGTAAAGCTGGTTTGGTGGTTCTGAACTTTTGCTTTTGATCTCCCCATAAAATCTGAATGAGAGCCTTGCTGGGTACAGTATTCTTGGTTGCAGGATTTTTCCCTTTCACCACTTTAAATGTATCATCATCTCGCTCCCTTCTGGCTTGCAGTGTTTCTGCTGAAAAGTCAGCTGATAGACTTATGGGAATTCCCATGTATGTTATTCCTTTCTTTTTGCTTTCCCCTTTCTGCTTGTAATAGTCTCTCTTTATCTTTAATTTTTGCCATTTTAATTACAGTGTGTCTTGGTGTGTTCCTCTTTGGGTTAATCCTGTATGGGACTCTCTGTGCTTCCTGGACTTGGATGACTGTTTCCTTTCCCAGATTAGGGAAGTTTTCAGCTATTATCTCTTCAAATGTGTTCTCTGCCCCCTTTCTCTCTGTCTTCTCCTTCTGGGACTCCTATAATGTGAATGTTAGTATGCTTGATGTTGTCCCAGAGGTCTCTTAAAACTGCCCTCATTTCTTTTCATTCTGTTTTCTTTTTCCTTTTAGCATCAGTGATTTCCACTACCCTGTCTTCCAGCTCACTGATCTGTTCCTCTGCATCATTTGGTCTACTTTTGATTCCCCTTGGTGTATGTTTCATTTCAGTTATTGTATTTTTCATCTCTGTTTGGTTCTTTATATTTTCTAACTCTTTGTTAAAAACTTCTAACTTTTGCTCTGTGCATCCATTCTTCTCCCGAGTTCTTTGATCATATTTATGATGACCATCCTGAACTCTCTCTTGGGTAGATTGGCACTCTCCACTTCACTTAGTTCTTCTTCTTAGCTTTTACCTTCGTCCTTCATCTGGAACATGTTCTTCTGTTGCCTTACTTTGCTTAAATTGCTGTTTGTATTTTTATGTATCGTGTAGGTTAGTTGTTTCCTGACCTTGGAGAAGTGGCCTTCTATAGACGTTTTTTGTGTCCCAGCACCCCGCTCCCCTCTTGTCCCCAAGCTATATGCTCTAGGGTTTCCCCCCATGAGGGCTGCATGGGTCTTTCTGTTTGGCAGGCTATGTGGGCAGTCTGGTAGGCTTGGGTAGCCCCCAGTCCAGTTGGTTGCCAGGCCCCACCTTGCGCAGAGGCTGCTGGCTGTTGGTTGGCAGGGCTGTCACGAGGCAGCTGACTGCACAACCCCAGGCGGCCCTGGGGCTAGTACTGGCTCACTAGTGGGTGGAGCCATGATCCAGAAGACTCCAGGATTGTAGTCTGCCCACTGGTGGGCGAAGCCAGGTCCTGAGGTTAGTGTCAGACTACTGGCAGGCAGAGCTGGGTTCTGGAGTATGTTTGCAGGGCCCCGGGATCCCAGAGCTGGTGTTGTATCACTTCGGGGGTGGGGGAAGGGAGATTCCTGACATGGGTGGAGTGTGGGGTGTCCCAAAGCTTTGTTGGCTTGCTAGTGGGCACGGCCAGGGCCCAGCTGGTCCCAGGGGAGCCTGCTGTGGGCCGACTGGGTCAGCAGGCTGTGGGATTGTGGATTTCTTGCCTCTCGTGTCTGTCCCCTTGTGGGTGAGGCTGGTCCAAAGGTTAGAGCAGACTTCATGGAGGGCAGGGTTGGGTCCCAGGGGGTTCTGGGACTGGTGCCTACCCACTGGTGGGTGGAGCTGGGCCCTGGGCCCTCTGGTGGGCAGGGCAGTGTCCAGAGGTGGCTCTGGGCTCATGAGGTCTTTAGCTTGTGTGCTGACGGAGGGACTGTGTCCCCACCCAGTTAAGTTGCTTGGCCTGAGGTGTCCCAGCCCCGGTGCCTAGAGGCTGTTGTATGGGGCCAGGTCTTGGTGCTAATGAGCCAGAGGACGGGACCCACAGTGGTGCCACCAGTGCCAGGGGCCATGCGGTAGAAGCAGCTACCAAGAGTGGCTACCACCAGTGTCTATGTCCCCAGCGGAGCCACAGTCGCCCCCACCCCCACCCCCCCAGGAGACTCTCCAAGACCAGCAGGTAGGTCTGGCCCAGGCTTCTATCAAATTAGTGCTTTTGCCCTGAGTCCCAGAGCATGTGAGGTTTTGTGTGCCCTTTCAGTTTCTTCTTTCCCCAGTTTTGTGGGACTCCTGAAACCAAGCCCCTCTGGCCTTCAAGGCCAGTTGCTCTGTGGGCTCTTCTTCCCAGTACAGGAACTCCTGTGGGAAGATCCTCTGCAATATAATTACCCTCATTTGTGGGTCATCCAGCTGGAGGTACAGGACTTGACTGTATCATAAGCCTGCCTCTCCTGCCCATCTCGTGTGGTTCCTTCTTTATATCTTTAGTTGTAGATCTTTTCCAGGAGGTTCCCATATTTTTCATTGATGGTTGTTCTACAAACAGTTGTGATCTTTGTGTGCTCGTGAGAGGAGGTGAGCTAAGGGTCTTTCTACTCTGCCATTTTGACCAATTTATCGGTCATGAAACATCTTTCATAGATTTAATTCCCAGTTACCTTTGGGGGTATTTTTTTGGTTGCTGTTCCTATTGTAAATGGTATTTTCTCTTGGATTGTGTTTTACATGTTGCCAGTGTACTGAAATGCATTTGATTTCTGTATATTGATCTTAAATCCAGCACCTGATAATGCTTTTGGATTCACTAAGTGGAAAATCAAAATCTGTGAAAAGTGTTATTTCTTCCTTTTTAGTCCTTGCACCTTACTTTCTTTTCAGTCTAAGTGCTGCGGCCGGGGCGGTGTAGGGACAATGATGAATAGAGTGATCCAGGATATCCTCATCTCACCCCAACCGTGAATGGAGTACTTCAAACATTTCATTTGCTCCGGGTTTCCTGTAGATATCCTTTGTGAGGTAAGGGGAGTTCCTTTCTGTTCCTAGTTTGCTAAGCGTTTCTATGGTTTGTTGCTGAATCTTACCGAATACTTTTTCTGCATCTATTGACATAATCTATGTTCCATCTGTTACTGATTATTTGGGTTCCTCTACTCCCTACAAGATGAGAAAATAATTTGCAATATAAAGAAAAGCTTGAGATCCTTTTAGTGCTTGCCTTTATAACACATACTGGCTGGTACGGAGACTAAAACCCAGAAAGCCTGTTTATCCAGCCCGACGCTCCCTTGTTTGCTTTCAGGCCAGGCAATGGACTGTTCTAGTCGGTGGGGGCTGGTGGAGCTGCTGGCCGAGGGAGGCCAAAGAAGCCCTGCTCTGTCAGGTGCAGAAAGCACAGGCCCAGGGGCCGGGAACACGGGGGACCGAGAGGACACGTGATAGCTGCCAGACTGGAGAGGGGACAGGGCGGGCATCTCTTCCCCACCCTTGGCCATGGCCAGCTTTACCTGCCTCTGAGGATCCCCTTCCTAGAGCTCCACAGCCAGCCTCGGAGTGGGCAGACTTTCCCAGAGGGCCACTCAGAAAATGAAGGTAGTGATTCTTCCAAAGAATTCCAGGCTCCAGCAGAACACTGGAGAGGAGTAAGGTCTCTCGTGACAGGTTTTCCGAATGGTGGAGTCACCGGTATGAAGACGTGAGCTTGCCCTCATGACTTAACTGTGCACTGAACAACTCTATCCACTGTAAGAGGATCTTTAGACCCAGGGAACCAGGCCCACGAGACACAGAGGCCGGGACTGTTGTCTTCACACCTCCACAGGGCTGTCCAGGGGCAGAAGAACACAGAAGTGTGACCACAAAGGGGACAAACCAGGACCACCAGGAGGAGCTAAAGGAAGCATAGAGGCTGACTCAGCATAAGGAAGAACTTTCATAGGGATTCCCTTGGTGAGAGGGATTGCCCCATCACAGCAAGTGAGCAAAGACCTGAGGACCATCTGGCAGGGACTGGAGAGAGAAGATTCATGCCAGGATGGAACTGCTGGCCTCCAAAGTCCCTTCTGTCCCTGGAATAGGCAGTGACACCAATGAACAGAGTTGCCTGGGTTTACCCAAGAGCCAAGGTGGTCAACGTGACGTTCTGGCTCATGACATCATTCCGCAGGCTCCGCTGTACCAATGAGTTTGACACCTCTGGTCCCCTGGGGTGGCCTGTGCTCTCCCCAAGAGCTTGAGAGCCCTTAGGAGCTCTGTGTTCCTATTCTGCAAATTGGATCAGGCTAAGATTCTGTACTGTGGGAAGGTGCCAAGAAGCCATCAAAGCCCTCCAACATGAAGGGGAGTGGAGGGAGTAGAGCGGTTGTTCATCCGCCAGTGTAGCACAAACAGGGGCTTTATTGGTGGGGCTCGGGACGTTGTGACAGCCCAGCACGCAGGCTGTGAGGGCCTGGGCAGCTGCCAGGAGGCGAGACGTGAGGGGACCAGCCTCTGCACTGTGCTGCTTGGGGACAATGTGTAGGGACAATGATGCATAGAGTGATCCAGGATATCCTCATCTCACCCCAACCGTGAATGTCCCTTTTCAGTTCTTAGAGGCAAGTGTGCAGGAAGAGGGTTCAGGACTTCACAAACTGGTGGGTGACCTCGTAGATTCCCACAGACTCCTGAGCCTTTTCGTCATAGTCAGTCCAGTCCTGTGGGAAAAAATGGCAGCGTTAGCCTCACGAGGCAGCCTGGACAGCATGGGGAGTGGAGGACTAGGACTTCAAAGGCCCAGCTCAGGCTCCGGCTCAATCTTCAGGAACATGTCAGACCCAGGACAGAGCCAGAGTGCTCGGGCCTGAATTCCTACTCCTCTAGCTTTGTGATTTTGGGCAAGTCACTAACTTCTCTGAGCCTTCGTTCTGTCCTCTATTAAAAAAAAAAGAGGACAGCAGTAGATTTTACACTGAATGTTGAAAGAATCAAGAGTTAACACATGTAAAAGTATTTAGCCTAGGGCCAGGCACATATGAGAGCTCAGTAAACCCAGTTACTGTTATTAGGTGCTATGCAAACTGAATGTTTTTGTCCTTCCTTCCTCTGAGGCCTGACCACAAGCCTTCCTTATCTGCAAGGCACTAACATGTCCAGTTGATTCTTGGTATTCACAGTAGTTACGTTCTACAAAGTCCCCACAAACACTGTATTAGTGAATATTGAATCACTGCTCCCAGGGGAAATACAGGGTTAGGTTCCTGGGAGCATCTGATTCTGTTTAAAAACACCTTATTTAACATACATACATATATATTTATATAGCTGATTCACTAATACTGAACTCACAGCCAACAGTGCTGTATCTCACACCTGAACAAGCTTGTCTAACACGTATCTTCTCTGTAAGGCACACCCAGCTTTCCTGCGTGTGAACACTAGGCGGCGCTTCAGCACTACACTTGGGGCTATCGTAAACACCAAAATCACCAACAAAAAGCACGGAAGTGTGGAGTCGGCTTCCCACTGAAGAGCCTTGTTCACCAAAAGGGTTATTCCCACCAGGTGCCCTAGAGCTCCCCGCAAGGCCCCCAAGGCCCGTACCTTTTCCTGCAGATTAATGTCACTGAAGACTGTCCCGGATTCCAGACCCTCAGCAGCAAAGCCGGCCTGCAGGTGACAGGAAGGCAGTGGTTAATCTGGGGGAACGGAGGCACTGGTCCAGCCTGTGGGGCCTGGTCAGGGAACTGGCCTTTCTCACACCTCTGGCATCGGAAGACAGAAACACAGTTGGGCTACTGTTCTGGAATAACTGCTGAGCTTCCATGCCCTGGCAGCTGCCCTGGGACTAGAGTGGTTTCTCCAGATTAGAGCCCTGGCCCAGAAGGCAGGAGGCGTGGGGTAAACCCACCCATCACCCTTGATTTTCTGAAACACCCTGGCCGTGTCACTTCCCTCTCTGGACCTCAGTTTTCTTACTTATGAAACGGGGATGACAATACTCTCTCTTCTGCCTACCTCACAGGGTTGTGAGGTGAAAATGCTACACAAATAAAGTGGCCTGAGCACTGGCTCTGGAGTCGGATAGATGTGGGTTCAAATTACAGCTCCATTGCTTACTAACTGCATCACCCTGGGCAAGTGGCAAAATCTCTGAAGTTCTTTTCTCATCTGAAAAATAGGATGTATAACTTCACAGAGTTACTGTGAGGATTAAGTGAGGTAACATTAAAAGTGACAAGCCTGGTGCCCAACATATATTAGATGCTTAATAAATAACAACTGTTATTCTTAGAAATGAGAATTCCTAGTCCACGGTCTCTGTAGGAAGCACAGTTCTACTGTCACTTCCTATACGCCCTCCCCAAAGATACAGGTTCCCCAGGAAGACATGCACCTGGGGCTGGAAATCGACTGGTTCAAGTCCTCGGCACTCAAACTCCACTATCGTCTTGAACTTCTCGTTGTCTTCGGCCTAGAAAGGAAGTGTGTTGAGGAGGTAGGTCCAACTGTGCCCTCAGGTTGACTCCACAGCCCCTGAGAGCCCAGAATGGGACTCAGGGGCAACTCATCCCATTCTGGAAGAAGGCTGCCTTGACACCTGCTTGCCACGAGATCTTCCTGGGTGTGGCCTCTGGGGTCAGAGTGCCTGGATGTGAGCTCAGACACAGTTCTGCCTTTTCCTCTGGGCCTAAGGTTGTCAGCTGGAGCTGAGGAAGCCACTACAGGTTTATTGTGAGAAACTGAACTAGGTGTAAATTGCCCAGTATAGGGCCCGGCACTATGCTCAATGAATGGTAGATAAAATTATCAAAATAAAAACTGTGAAGAAGAATGTTAAGCTATAAGGTTTCCAGGTCATCCAAAAGGCCCCAGTACACTTCGCTGTGGCCTTTTGCTAACCATCCGCCATGCTGTCAAGGCAGGGGCTGACTTAAAGCCTTTGAAGTGGGATATGCATGTGGAGGAGGCACACTGAGGGGGGTGGTACAGCCAGGAAATTCATGCCTCCCTGACCCCTGGGCCCACAGACCCCAAGGACACACCCACACATTCATTCTCATTCTGTCATTTACTGTAGAAATGCTTCCTGCACACCAACCATGTGCCTGGCCCTGGATTGGTTTTTGTTTGCTGGTCTGTCTCTTCCACTGGATTATGATTTACTTGAGTGCAAGTCCTTGTGTGATTTTTCCCTTTAACTTCAGGACAAAGCTGAGAATTTGGCATAAATCAGACATTTTTCAAAAATACCAAATAGGAATGGATGAAGACACAGACCCAAAGCATACACTCCCTCCCTCACCTTTGGACTAATCTGTTAATGCAGTAACGTATAGATACTTAATAAAATCAAGCATCAAGGATGGATGCACTGTCTCATCCATGGATTCAGAGAAGGCTCACTAGCCCTCCAAGATGTAGACAAGGCAAGTGTTCCCAGCGATGGAAACTGAATGGCCAGGTTGGGTCAGAGGTCCCCGAAGCTCCCACAGCCCAACACCTATAAGAAGGCGGTACAATAGCCTAGTTACGAGTCTTTTTCCTGCCGAGCACTCAGTCAGGGTAAGGTGAATGAATGACTGAGTGAATGAACGAACAAGTAAGCACATGAAGTCAGTCAGTTCCATGTGGGTCACTCTGGTGCAGATATAACTTGAGAACCCAGGCCTCCTAGCTCCCGGCTTGGATCTGATCCCACCATGCCTGCCACTGCAGCAGGAAACTTACATTGTAAGGTTTGATGGTGCTGCTCAAAATCTCTGAAATGTAAAAGAGAAGACAAAGTCGATTTAAGTCCATATCCCGGCCCCACCCAGGTACCCAGATGTGGCTCTGGGCAAGAGTCTACGGCAGAAGCTTGGATACCTCAGGCCTGGGTCCACCCACAGGTAACATGAGCATGCTTTTGGTCTGGCACCACAAAGCCGATGGCCAGCCTGGCAGAGGTCAATATCCATGGCCTACCTACCAATGGAGTTTTCCCTTGAACACAGCTTGCACTTCGGGACCATGGAGGCACTGCCACGGCCTCCCTTCAGTGCCACGTTGTCCTGGCAAGCAGTAAACAGAACCTCTAGTCACATATCAGTCAGATGTAAGGGTCCCCAGGAGACCCAGTCCTACCACTTATTATCAATTAATATTATAACAATATTTAAATACACACCATCTATATCTACCAAGACCCAGACAGGGTGAGCAACTTGCTAGGACAAGAATCCTGGGAAGGCTTCTTGAGAGCGAGGAAAGGAATTCCCCTTGATTTTGAACTCTGCCTCACATCCCAGAGCCCATTGTTCCCAGTTGATCACACTCTGCCTGCCCTCCCAAACCACAAAAAGTGGGGTCCAAAGACCGGGGAGGTGAGGGCCACATACCCCTGCCCAGAGGCCTATGTGTGTCTGTATAGGGGTATAGTGGTGGGGGGAGCAGTTACCGTCAGCCGAATGTACTGCCACTTCTCTGAAGTCTCACCACAGTTGCCACATTTCATCTTGGGGAGGGGGAGAAAGAGTATTAGTAAAGAAGTTGGCTCAGTTGGACAGATGCTGAGGGAAGGGTAAGAACAGTGTGAGGTGGGCAGGCCCATCAGCAATCTTACCGCATCCTTAGGACCAGCCCCACTAAGGACATAACCAGACTTCTCTCTGGGCAAGGTGTTTCCCGTGTTGGCTTCCTCATCCTCCTCTAAGAAGTCCCCAGTCCGGTTAGGGATTCAAGGCTCAAGTAGTACAGAAATGGCTTCAAAGTCCCCCCACCCCGCGTTGAGTTAGGAGCTTCCTGTGTGTCCTTACAGGCCCTGTAGGTTCCTGGTAAAAGTATTTATCACTCTGTTGCCACGCCTTCTTTGTCTCCTTCTCTAGACTCTGCTTTTTGAAGCCAGGAAACATCAACTCCTCAAATAAGCCCTGGCACTCGGGCTTCAAAATATTTGGAAATAAAGGTGGGCAGAATGCTTCCTGGAAGATAGGGCTTTTGTCAGGTACTGAAGGATTCTGGGATTTAGACTAAAAGGAAAACAGATCAGAAGCTCCGGGATCTGGGAGAGTAAAGGACCTCAAACTGCTCAGTTAAGAAGAGGACCTCTGTATACCATCCCACTAGAGTACCAGATTTACCAATACAGGATGGGGAATTAAGAATGGAGCCATGCACAAAATTAAATGATTTCACAGTAAATAAAACTTAATCAACAAAAGAGAAGGTGAAATTATTCTTACTAAATCATCACAAGATCCCTTCAAGTAGCCTTTCGTTTAGTGTTTGTTTACATACCATGAAATATGTTACGGAGGAAAAAATTACAAAAGATATTTCAAGATACTGCCAATAAAGAATTAACCAGTAGGGCTTCCCTGGTGGCGCAGTGGTTAAGAATCCTCCTGCCAATGCCGGGGACACGGGTTCGAGCCCTGGTCCGGGAAGATCCCACATGCCGGGAACAACTAAGCCCGTGTACCACAGCTACTGAGCCCACACGCCTAGAGCCCGTGCTCTGCAACAAGAAAAGCCACCGCAATGAGAAGCCTGCACACCGCAACGAAGACCCAACGCAGCCAATAAATAAAATAAATTTTTTTAAAAAGAATTGACCAATAAACTTAAAAAAGCAAACATAAAATTCTACCCAGAAGAAAAGAGAACATTTAATAAGCATTTCTCACCTAGCTGGAGAGAAAGCTCCCGTTCACCACTGAGATCAGGGTGGGAAACCTTTACGCGGCCCCGGCCCTGGCGCCCCCACCACAGCCTTACCTTCAGGTACCACCGGAAGTCCTCGCCCACTGGCCGGAGGTTGGTGACATTCTCCAGCGTGGCTTTGAGCTGCAGCGCAATTTTCTGAGAGGAGGAGCGCCAGGGCGACGGCGTCAACAGCGCCCGGGCAGCCCCGCGCCTAGCCCCTGCCCGGCGCCGCCCCTCTCCTCCCCTCCCGGCATGAGCTGTGCCTCCCCGCTCCTTCTCAGCGCGAGCCCACTCCCCTCCTTCCCTCCTGGCGCGAGCTCCTGCCTCCCAGGTTCTCGCCACCTCCCGGCCTCTGCCCCGGCAACAACTCGCCTCCGCTTACCCCCATAGCGACCCGGCTCAGCTGGCGCTGGCTGCGGCCACTGCTTTCCGGCCCGTCGTAAACGGCGGGCGCCGCATGCGCACCCTCGCTGCGGCTCTGGGCGGGGCGCGGGGCGGGTCTCAGCGCGCCGGGGCTACCCCCGCACACCTGGCTTTTTCTCCCAGGCAAAGTGGTCTTGTGGAGGTAGGCTGAGTCCGCAACTAGCCGGTGCTCAGACCCGCGGAAGGCTGCCTCCAGCAATCGGTAATTCCAGATATTTACTGAACGCCATGCTAGTCTGAGGGATACCGCAGCAAACAAGACAGTCCTGCCCGAAACCTATGCGGGGTCCGCTTCCTGCCCTTCAGACTCTGCCTTCCCTCACCCAACCTCGCGCTTGGTCCCTGCCTGCCCTTGGAGGCTTCTTAGATCACGTTCACCCAGCCCAGGGCCCGCTTCGTAGGTTTGAGAGATGGGACCTTTTTCATCTTTAAACTGCTCCTTCCTCCTTCCCCCAGGGGACCTTTCAGAGGGTTGGCTCGTGCACATGTCCTCATTGTGGTCGCCAAGGCTGGACACTCCCTTTCAGCTGGCTCTTCTCTTGAGTTCCTGGTTTATTTTCTATCATACATTTACTGAACCTGTGCTCTTGTGCAGGGCACAGTCGAGACCATACAGAAGCTGTGAGCATTATAAGGAACAGCCTGTTTGAGGCTTTTACAGCTTCCTGAGGTCTAGTTTCTTTAAAATTTGGAGTGACTCTTTTCGGATGTCTACTTTGACACGAATTTACCTGATTGCCAGGTACCCTTCTGTAGCAGAGGGTGCACTATAGCCAGGAAGCCTGACATCTCAGATCCCAGATCTGCACCTAACTTGCTGCCCTGTAATCTTTGAAGGAGGCAAAGTACAGTGTGTGTGTGTTGTGGAGGAACACTTGCCTAGGAGTCACCAGACTTGGGACCTGTCCCAAGTTGGCCTGTCTTGAGGGATGTTGAGCTCAGCCTAATCACCTCCCCTCAGTCAAATGAGATTTATCAAGACCTAGTTCCTTTCAGCACCCACTGTCTGTTCAGTCAGCAATTTGCCTCATTAAGGAAGCCATGCAATTTAGCAGCAAGAAAAAGTTCCTACAGATTTACCTGCTGAAAAAATCCCCACACTATCTACAACAACTAGGTTGCTTCTTAATGGCCGCTGGTATTCTGATTTTAAAATGAATTATTGGAAAAATTTTGAGACCAGGCATTTTATCCCTTATAATGTATTAAACCAAATATTTCCCAATATATTTCCAAATATATCTGAAGTAGCTTCAGATATATCTATAAAGGTGATTTTAAAACCCCCAACCTCAGTTATTAAGCTGGATGAAAACAACAAAACCCAAAATACCAACCACAATACTATTTCACATCTAAAAAATTAACAATACTTCATTAATACCAAATATCATGTTCAAATTTCCTTAATGATGTCAATTTTACATTTCCTGAATCATGATCCAAATAGGGTTCAAATGTTGTATTGATTGTGTGTCTCTCAAATCTTCTTTTATAGGTTCTCACTCCATCTCCATTTATGTTTGCAGCTTATTTTTTGAAGAAATCAGATCCCTTGTCCTGAAGTTTCCCAGGACAAGGATATTGATTGGATTTCCACTGTATTTGTTAGCATGTTTCTCTATTCTTTTACTTCCTGTAAACTGGTAGGTATATGTATAGAGTTGATTAGATTTTTGGCACTACTTCACATAGGATGTCAGTGTTAAAAAGTGAGAAGAGTGCACATGTTCGGGTCTTTATAATAAAAATTGCATTTTGTTACGTATTTATTAAAGACAATCATTTATAGTTTATAAAAAAAATACTGCCCTGATATACACAAAAATGTCTTGATAATGGTGATTAAAAGGAGCACTCCCACCCCCCTTGTGTCCACACAATCAATATTCGATCTAGATTGGCTTGATCTTGAAGTGTAATCCAATAAGACTGAAGACCAAACACTTCAGGTCCTGGACAAGATAATAAAATACTCGTAAGCCTTCTGGATCCCTAAAATGCAAGAAGAAAAAAATGTTTAAAAAGCTGAGAAAACTCAGCAAAAAAATACCATTTACTAACCCAGATTATTTATGTACCAGGATATTCCTCATAGAGGTATTTACATAATTAAAACTTTGAAAACAACCCAGTGTCCAAAAAGAAGAAAAAGCCTATATGCTATATATTAAAATGTAATATTATGAGGTAATTTAAAATGTTAAGGTTTCTTCTTAATGAGGAAATGCTTATATTAAGTGGGAAAAAATCATGATTAAAGTAACAGGCTGTTGATCTCAATTACATTTTTTGTGCTTTAAAAGACTATATATATTTTTTAAAGCACAGGAAAAAGACAAGAAATACTTTAAGATGGTTATCTAATTGATAAGTTTACGGGCTATTTTCACCTTTCTACTTTTCTGTATTTCCTATATTTTCAACAATGAACATGTATTACTTTCAGAATTAGGAAAACTTATTTTTGAAGTAGTACTAAGCAGGACCAAGAGGCTGAAGATTACTACAGCATAACTGGATAAGAACAAGACTGTTCACAGGAAGACAGTTATGCCTAACATGTACTAAAAGTGAGCCATATCTAACCCCAAATCCTCAAAGCACAAGAGCCAAAGAGGTTGCCAAATTCTAAGGATTCTTTGTAGCATGTAGATTCATGTCTCAACTTTATAATTTACCCTACTGACAAAATGAATTTTTAAATTTATATTCTGAATAATTTCAAGTTTCACTAAAGTCAGGCTTTAAGATGTGCTATCGGAATAGCCAACACTGAGGAAGGTGTTCAGACTCATTGATTCTACAGTTTATTTCCAGCACTTGTTTTTTTGTGTTTCATTTCTGTTCTGGCCAGATTCTTACCCACTGTGGCTGCTCTTATGGCATTACTCTGTGTGTGTGTCACTGAGAAGCTCTTATTAACAATGATTGACTAAAACACCAAAAGCAAAAGGAGCAAGCCCTTGAAAATATATAATTTGGAGTCTCTCTATTGAGGGGGACAAAGCTGACCAATTCTGTCTTACATTTGTACCAGATCTTACCATAATGGTCCCAATTTGGTTAAGGGTTTCGTATCAGCCTGCTCTAAAACAGACACATCTGGATATAAGGATCATGGGTACTTACTTGGATTGATTGACATCAATAAGGGAACCAATTTTTGACGTTGTGAAAGAAATATGTTCATCTCCAATGACAATTTCAAGCTCCTAGAAACATGAAATGTCAATTTGGATTGGATTTTTCATCAGTCACACAGGAGAAGGGTTCGTCATCTGCCAAACCACATGACCTATAATACAGCTGTGGCCACATTCCCAAGACCCGTTCAACCTGAGCCCTAAACTGTACTGGGCACTGGAAACAAAGAGATAAATAACTGGTATGAGATAAATACTGGTTTAGCCCTTGAGTAGCTTATACTCTTAGAGGAAGTTGTGTGTGTGAGGCTCCACCATTTACAAGAATTTACATCATGCTTTGTATAGGAGTTTTCATTGTTAACAATGTGGAGTAACGTATAAATCTGTTTTACGAATACTTAAGAATCTAACTTTTCTGGGCAACGTGGGACAAGTAAAAGAATTCCAGACCCTGAGCAGATCCCAGCTTTGTCACTTACTAGCTGTATGCCCTTGGGTCTGAATTTCTAAAGAGTGAAACAAGTACTATAATCTTAAAAAAAAAAAAAATCTATTGGGTGGGGAATTGTAGGGCGGTGCCTATGGGACAGATCAGCAAAACCAAACAAACATCTCTGCCCTTGTGGAACTTACAATCTATTTTTTAAATATTTATTAATTTATTTTATTTATTTATTTTTGGCTGAATTGGGTCTTAGTTGCGGCATGTAGGATCTTCATTGAGGCATGCAGGATCTGTTGCTGCAGCGCTCGAGTTCTTCCTTCGTTGAGGTACGTGGGCTTCTCTCTAATAGTGGCTTTAGCTGCCCCGCGGCATGTGGGATCTTAGTTTCCCGACCAGGGATCGAACCTGCATCCCCTGCACTGGAAGGAGGATTCTTTACCACTGGACTTACAATCTATTGAGCTCTACTTCTTAACACTCAGATTTGAAAATGTTAATATTTTATCATATCTGTGTCAGATTTCTTTTTTAAGAAATATTAGAGTTTAGACCCACCTCCCACTCTGTTCTCCTTCCTGCCTCCCCAGAAGTTGGGGTGTATTCTTTCCAATCATGATTTTATATTAGGTAGTATATTTTTAAAATTTTACATAAATGATCGTACTATATCTTTTTGCTTTTTTCATTCAACAAGGGTTTTTGTTAATTTGTTTTTTATTGAGTTAACATTGTTTTTTTGTTGCTGTTGTTGTTTTTGGCCACACCATGCAGCTTGTGGGATCTTAGTTCTCTGACCAGGGACTGAACCTGGGCCCACGGCAGTGAAAGCAACGAGTCCTAACCACTGGACCACCAGAGAATTCCCATATTGGGTTAAAATTGGTTTAAAAGTTTCATGTGTACAATATTATATTTCTACTTCTGTAAATACTAGAGTGTGCCCACCACCCAAAATTTAGTTTCCATCTGTCACCATACAGTTGATCCCCTTTACCCATTTTGCAACACCCCCTCCCCACCTCCCCCAGCCCCTTCCCTCTGGTAACCACTACTCTGATTTCTCTATCTATGTGGTTTTGTTTGGCTTATTCATTTATTTTGTTTTTTGTTTTCAACAAAGTTTTTGTAGGTAGATCAAGTCCATTAGTTTTAAATGCTTTAGAATATTCATTTCCCTATTGAAGCAGACTTAAGTTCCCAATTTTTGTTTCTATAAACAATGTGGCAAAGATATCCTTCTATGCATCTTGTGTATATATGTGAAAATCTCTCTAGGAAATTCCTAGAAGGTAAACATATTTTCAGCTCTGCTAGACACTAACAAATCGTTCCCTAAATGGTTGTAGCAATGTTGTTTCCACCAGTATATATGAATCCCCCTTTTCTTTCTCATATCCTTTTTAAAACTTGGTGCCTTTTTTTTTGACCGTTCTAATAGGTCTGA